GCTGGAGCTCCTGGGAACATAGCCATGATGATCTCAGTACCCTGAAGCTTTGAAACTTTTAGCAGAAAGGAAAGGCTTCAGCCCCATAATAATGGCTAGTTTTTCCACTCTGCAACCACCAGGTGATTAGAATTCAGGCTGATACCAACTCCTGGTAATCCCTGGAGAGAACTTGGGCGTACAGAGAAGCCTGTTCTCTTTGTATGGTCATCTCAGCCCTGTGCTTGGCCGTTTCACTTTCACATTCATGGCTCTGCTAAATATATTTCTGTAGAAATCACTAATGATGTCTAATTGCCAAATATAGTTTCTTTTCCACTGTCTTTTAACCCAAACTTCCTAACCGTCCTGTGCCACAGATTCCACCTGTTTGTTCTTCCTGGGTGCCCTGCTAGACTGTGTCTTACCGCCTCTCCTGCAATGAGGCGTGGCTATGTGCTTCTCTCCGGCACACTGCTGTTGTCTTCAGGCCTGGTGTTCATGCTTGAGAAGTTTTCCCCCTCCTTTTTTTGTTCTCCATTCCCTTTGCCTCTCCTCACTATCTGGCATGGGAATCTAAGTAAAGATTAAAAGTATAAGGTTGCTATTAACCTAGGTTTCTGAATAACTTTATGAAGCAAAACACTCCCCTATCTCACCCCACTACACACACACACACACACACACACACACACACACACACACACACACACACACACACACACACACACACACAAACATTGAACTGGACTTTTTCGAAAAGAAGAAACTTCTGGTGCCAAGCTATTACATATGGGCCTATTTGTTATGACCTATTGGTTACCTCAGTAACTATTTCTGATTTCTTAAGACCTACTTTTGTTCTGTTTTCATGACATCACTGTTCCCAGCCCTTTTTCTGCCTCTCTAACTATTCTTCCATCTTGCTTTTCAAAATGTCCAATCCTCAAACTAAGGAAACTTTCCCAGCTTTCTCATCTTTCTTCTCCTCATTTTGTATGTTTTTCTGGAATGTTCTCCTTTTCCATGGCTTTTCCTGCCATTGATCTATTGATGATCCCCAAATCTACCATCATCCCCCATTCCAAAACTTACCCGCTTCTCTCAGAATAACTCCTCCTTGTTGTATGCTCTTTAGTCAGTTCCCCAGTCCTCTCACTTCAGGACCAACTTTAGCTCTTCCTTCCCTCCAACCCTTCCATCCCAGTCAACCACTGAGACCTACTGTCTGCAAACCACAGATGCCTCACATAAGGCCTGCAACAACCTCTAAGTCTCTCATCTCTGATCCTTCTGCACTTTGTCATTCCTACAAGTCTCTCACTACTGCGTGCTTCTCCAGCCTGCTCACCACACACTGGTTAGGATTTTGTATGAACAGGAACACTTACACACATGCTCACTCGCTTGTCCACTAAAACACTTGTGATTCTTTGTTGTCATAAATTATGGCTACTATTTAAGGAGCACCTCCTATGTGCCAAATACTGTGCTAAATCCTTTATTAAAACAAACATGGCACTTACCTCCTTAGGTGAGCATTTGCTCCCAGTCATAAGTCATGAAGTGGTAGAGCTCATACAGTTCCTTCTGACCTCAAGGCACCTGGGCTTCAACACCATGCAAAATAGCACTTGAGAGCCTTCAGGCTGCAGCCTGAACCAACTTGTCCATTCTTATCTCTACCTCTTACATTCTAGGAATTAGACCCACAGACCTTGTACCCAGTCATCAATTAGATTTGCTCTTGTTTGTTTTGTATTGTGTTTTGATACAGGGGATCAAACTCAGGACCTTGCACTTGCAAGGCAGGTGCAGAGTCATTGAGCTACATCCCCGGTCCCTTTCAACAATTAGAGAAATACTTTTCTATGATGTTGCTCAGCATGATGCAGGTGCTTGAAGTATTTTAGTTCCCCTCTTCCATTCCTGCATGAATCTTACCCATGGGTATACTGTTTCTTTTGCTTGTAGTCCCTGTGCACCTGCCTATGTCCCATATATTCTGAATTATTTTTTAAGTAAATTGGAATATTTCCTCCCCCTGTCAAGCTTTCTAGATTTCCCTGGGAAGACTTAGTTTTTGAACTTATCGGCTCCCTTAGCATATCTTTAATCCCTGCACTGTGGTCTTTAGTCCCTCAAATTGCAGCATATCTGGCTATAGGTCTGTTTCTTATGAGACAGAGCTCTATTGTAAATTCACTAGAAAGGTCTTGTTCATCTCCTTACCTACAGTCCATCACATACATAAGTCCTCAAAACCTGTTTGATGAATAGTATATGGATGAATGACACAAGCATTTTCCATAAATGCTTTTATTCTCTAATCAGCTGTCTTGAAGTCTGATTCTAACCCATGCTGTTATTTTGCACAATTGAAAGTAGAATGAAGAATGTTCTAAGTGTCCTGAATGTCACCAAAAGCCAAAGAGAGCTATGCTATCTATGCAGTAGCCACTAGGCCCCTGCGGCTGATAAGCACTTGCTACTGCTAGCACAACTTAAGATCTACTGTAAATATGGAATACACGTGGAATTTCAAAGATTTACATTTTTTAAAGAGGGTAAAATAGTTTAGAAATATTTTCTTACATTTATCATATAAAGAAATGTTTTTATATATTGGATTAAATGAAATATATCACTAAAATTTATTTTCCTAATTTCTTTTTGCTCTTCTAATGTAACTACTGGAAGACTTTAAAATTACATATGTGAACAATAACAAATCTTGGCGGGGTAGTGGGGAGAAAGGAGCCCTTCTCCATTGTTGGTGGGAGTGCAGACTGGTGCAACCACTATGGAAATCAATATGGAGATACCTCAAAGAGCTTGAACTGGAGGTTCCATTTGACCCAACCATCCCTCTGCTGGGTAGCTTTCCAAAAGAACTAAAAGAATCATATCACAGAGAAGTATGCACACCCATGTTTATAGCGGCACAGTTTATAATAGCTAAAACTTGGAAATAGCCCATATGCCCATCCATTGGAAACTAGATAAAGAAGATGTGGTTTTTCTATAAAATGGAATATTACTCAGCCATAAAGAATGAGAAAATAGATTCATTCATAGGAAAATGGATACATATTGAAGATATACTCCTAAGTGAAATAAATAAGGCACACATGTGTAAATACTGAATAGTTTCTCTGATGTGAATAATCTGCAATAATACAGAAGATCCTAATAAGATTACTGACATTGAGAAATGGGAAGAAAGGAGCTAAAGGTGTAGGGAAGGTGGGATGGGTAGGGGAAGGGTAATAAGGGAAAAGAAAAAAATGTGAGATAATGAAAAGATGGAAATAAAGTGTTTGTAGATGGGGAGAGGAGGAGGGAGTGAAGGGAGGGCAGGGACAAGGGGAAAAAATGAGAACCAAGACATGTCATGTAGAGGTACAAGATCCCAACAATGAATGTAACTGTACTGTATCCCTAAAATGTACCAATAAACTCAATTAAAGCTGGAAAAAAATTACATATGTGAAAAAAATAAATAAAATAAAATTACTTATGTGATATGCCTCCTATTTCAGTTAGAGTTTCTAATTTTATGAGAGTAGTCAGGGCGGTTTGGGAAGGAAAACACTGGCCTAAGAGTGAGGAAATTCTTCTTTCTCTTCCAGAGTCACACATCTAAGGAAGGAAAGCAGGCAGGAAGGCAGGGAGGTAGGGTGGAAGAAACAGAGAAAGGGAGGGAGGGAAAGAGAGAGGAAGGGAGAACACAGATGGAAGAAAGGGAAAGAAGAGAAAGAAGTTAGTTTTGTTTTAACCAACATCTTAAAGAGTTGCATCACATGACCACAATTGAGAAGATAAAAATGCCTTTTCAACTTTAGACAGCTATTTTCTTTCATATGATGATAATTTTATAACTGTCAATAAAATACTGAAAAGGCCCTCATAATACATAATACGAGTAGTTAAAAATATTAAATGATAGCTGATATACTAAACTTTCTAAAGTAGACAAGGACATCTTCCAATAGAACTCAGAATGAGAAGAGACCTTATTTTATGAATATTGCAGTTGTCCTGGTATCTATGAGATGTCACTTTAAATTCTTACTGAAGAAAATTAGATAAAAAAGGAAGCAAAGGCGAAAAAGAAGGGGGAGGAAAGGAAAAAGGAAAAGTGTCTACAGTCCAGACTCTCAGTTGATTGATCATCAAGGCTTACTTTTTGTTAGGATAAAAACATTTCTATTATCTTTGATTCCATGGTTCTTAAAAGTCTTCTAGCCTAAGCCTTAATGAATTACTGACCTCTGTTCTAACAACCTCAGCAAAACAATAGAATACAAACTTTAGGAATTTTAATGTTTGCTCAGTTTAATTACCAGGAAGGTCTTATTGTAATAATGTAATTGTTAATATGATATAATTCAATATGATCTGTATTATAATAATGTGTCACATTTAATTTTTAAATTTCTAGGTAAACAGAGTCATATAATTGTTATTACTATTTTAAAAGAAATTCATTTTACAGAAATTATAATAGCATTAGTAGCTTACCATGCAAGGAAAATATCAAGGAAAATGATTTCTATTTAGTAAATATTTCCTATAAAGATTTCTAAAATAATGATATAGCACAAAAATATACTGTCCAAAATTTCAGAGATCTGAGTCCTTGTCAGCCTGGGACTTTTTTTTTTTTTTTTTTT